AAGGAAGGTATCGGCAACTCTTGCTCAGGCTTGGAAGGATGACATCGATGCTGGACATTTGCTATCATCTGTGCATGAAATATTCGGTCACGGTGTATTCTCCTTTATTCCAAAAGCTGAAGCATCCATATTCTTGTGAAAGGTGCAATACTATACCGGTAATTACTGGGCACGCGTTTGTCCTTGTAGGCTAGGAGAGAACAATATGTATGCAATCAATTGATATTTTATTACAGTTCCAGAGTTGTCCTTGATTGTTCTGGGAAAAACATTGTAGCACGGTAGTGTGAATATGTTTGAATAAGCATTTTTCCCTCACACTTCAATCGTTGTGTAAATAAGTTGTTTTAAAATTCTTGCAGCATGAATATAAGAGAAATCTTTGTCATTGCTTGCCTACAATTTGTCTCGTCTTTCTGAACGTATTAATTTTACTTGCATCATATCAAATTTTTGCATACCTCGGGGATGGCTGGAGGCACGAGGGGTATGAATATTAATTAGAAATTACTATTTGTTCGATTCGCAATAAATCAATTTTTACTGATTTCATGAAATATAACGAGAAATATTATTTATCAATTATAAATAATGTTCATATTTTGGACTTGCATTACACAGGACCCACATTTTGTTTTTACAAATTTCGACTAATCTTGAATAAAGTAATTAGGATCTATCTATCTTATTGTTTGATAGAATTCAGTGAACTATGATTAGCTTTGGATGTGATAGTAGATCAATGTCGCTAGAACCGGGGGGGGGGGGAAAAACTGTTTCAGCACTTGCGGAGGAGGGTTTGCGTTACTCGTAAATGATTAATCTAATACCGAATGTATCAAGAAAAAAGAAACAAAGCACAACTTGGAATCTGAGGCAGATGCTTCATATTCATATCTCACCCTGCTAAAATGACAGCAATATATCTCTCAATTAAGCTTCAAGATCAATATACAATCGAATAACTACAGCAAAACTTGACTACAGAAGAATAAAATCACAAGGTAAAAAGACCTAAGCAAGCAACTAAAAGAAGAGCCTTCGTGAGGATGCTCTAGATGATGGAGCTGTTGAGAGTGGAGGAGACATTGCCTTGCTTTCTTGGCCTCCATCCTTCTTATTAGCCAGCTTTGCAGCCTTAGGATCTGTTAGTAGTGTCTTCTGAAATGACTGTGAGAAGCCGGTTGCGATTATAGTCACATGAATCTCTCCATTGTAGCGATCATCAACAACAGCCCCAAATATAATATTAGCAGAAGGATCTGCCAAACTTGTCACAACCTGCGAATTACCAGTGTTCAAGATAGAGCTCGAGGAAAGAGGATGCAGAAAGGAAGCAAATGATCAGGGAAAACAGCACAAGGCAACCGTCAATCAAAAGCAAACAAAATAGTAAAATCCTACACATTAAATTAGGTCCTTCTGAGAAAGAACTAATGATCCTCAGCTGCATGAAAGTAGAAACTATATTGCTTTTCTAATGAAGTGCTGGGTTGTTCATCAAAGGCTCAAAGCTCCAGTATTGAGGCAAGTCAAATATTATTAGGTCTGTTTACCATGCAATTAAATATAGAAAAAAAGATAAATTTTTAAGACACAAAATGTTCCTGGCGTCATTACTTTAAAAATAATAATAAGATAAAAATTGCAGATTAAGTATTAAAAGGACACAATAGACATTGCAAAACCAGTCCCCCGAAAAAAAGAACAAGCATATCAAAAATTCAAACGTTGCAGAACTCAAATTGGAGTCACATAAAATCAATAACCATTATCCAACATGATTCTAGGAGTAATTTCTGTACTGATATGATACATTTCTAATTCAGAAGGTTGAAGAGGTAAATAACAGAATGTTTATTTGACAAGTGCTGATATGATGAAATGATTTAGTACCTGAGACACTCTGTTCACCTCTTGTAGGGTTATGTCCTTTCCTCCAGTAATGTTATATACAATTCCAGTAGCTGACTGGATAGATGATCCAATTAGAGGAGCCAAAGTAGCCTGTTCTGCTGCTTCTTCAGCACGATTTTTGCTGGAGGAAACACCTACTCCAAGCATTGCAGTTCCAGAATCTTTCATCACAGCTTTAACATCAGCAAAATCCACATTTACCAGCCCAGGTATCTGACATAGCCATTAATATTATCGATAAAAACCAGCATACACATGTCTTAGTTGAGTAAAAGTTCAATTATGAATGCAACAATGTGTGGATGCAGGGCTTTAGTACTTTGGGCTTCTGGAGGCTCTTTCTTTTGACAGGTTACCCATATTTTTGGGAAAACATAATTACATTATTCACAATAAACTCACTGTGATGATGTCAGCTATTCCTTGTACTCCTTGGCGTAAAACGTCATCTGCAAGTAGAAAAGCATCCTGAAGAGGTGTCTGCTCATCAGCAATGTCAAGCAGACGATCATTTGGTATTACTATAAGTGTGTCAACATTTTTCTGCAGTTTTTCTATGGCTTCCAGTGCCTGAAGATAGAGCAAATGAAACTAAATAGTTAGTTTCAAAATTTCAAATAACAAACTAATGTTTTCAGAGAATACTAACTGTGGTGAGCTATCAGCTCAGAACTTTAATCATTATATTCATACTGACAATAGTTAGTTTCAAAATTGCAAATAACAAACTAATGTTTTCAAAGAATACTAACTGTGGTGAGCTATCAGCTCAGAACTTTAATCATTATATTCATACTGACATTACCATTGGCTCTAGCATTTTCTCTATAGCATGAATTCATGACAAACAATGCTAAAAATGTAATTTATTAGATAGATAAAATGATGAAATCATATTCCAAATAAGAACAAAATGACACCTGCCTGCAAGGATCTTTTGCGTCCTTCAAAACTGAATGGATATGTAACCACACCAACTGTCAAATAACCAGCCTCCTTTGATATTCGTGCCACAACTGGGGCAGCACCAGATCCTGTGCCCCCACCCATACCAGCTGTTATGAACACAAGATCTGAACCTTTAAGAGCATTAGCAATTAATTCTTGTGATTCCTCTGCAGCTTGCTCCCCCAACAATGGATTCCCACCAGTACCTGCGCATCTCTATCAAGTAATTTCAATCAAAGGCCACACAAGTATAGATTGTAGTCATGAACATAAGTTCAGATTCACAGGAAAGTCGAATAAAGGAGGCTCCAAAACAAATGAGAGAGAGTGCCTGACCTAATCCACGAGTCAGAAGCTCCCCAATTTTAATTGGATTCTCGGAAGCAGAATGTAACAGTGCCTGGGCATCAGTATTTATTGCATAGAAGTCTACTCCCTAATAAAAAAGAATCAGAGTTTAACATCAGTAATCACTTAAAGATGCAGGAAAACACCGAGGCTTCTAGGTAGATAGCACCACATTGACAGATAATTCATTTAACTAGATGCCCAATTAAAAGAGCATTCTTAAATAACCGAACTTCATCAGGGTAAGAGCAAAGGAGAAGATTTGAAATTCCAAAAAAGAAGAGAGAAGGGAGGGGGAGAAGAACCAAAAAACCCACTTGCAAACCACTACCAATCATGCGATTAACAGCATTGTTGCCACCACCACCGATGCCGACCACCTTAATCTTGGCATTGTCAAGAGATGCGAAGGAGCAGCTGACGGACAGAGAACGACGACTCTGGCGTTCGAAGGAACCTCTTCTTCTGGGGTTGCAGGAAACAAAGGAAGAGGAAGAGAATGCATTGGGGTAAATTAGAGTGGCAATTGAGGAGGAAGAGACCAGCTCGGTCGGGCTTGACAGGGGAAGCGTGGCCATGATTATTCTGAAATCTTACGGTGTGAAATAAGATGAGGAATGAGAATCCTATTTTGCAATTTTAGAATTAGGGTTTTAGGGAAAAGAAGTAAAAAAGACGGGGAAAGGTTTTTCCATTTCGTTTATATGCGTTTCCCCTCCATCTTACGTGGATCGAAGAAACGGCTTCCTATTACAAAACCAACGGCGTCGCATTTTTGCCGCCTTCAAATGAGAATGTTAATTGTTAACTAATCTTTAACTAATCTCTAGCTCTAAGTAATATAAAAATTAATTAAAAAAATTAAAACACCTAACAAGCAGTATGAATATAGAGAATTGTGCGATTTTTCATGCCCCTCACCCCATTTATCTATTCATTCGAACATAATCTTCATTTTTTATTATCTACATTTAATATGTATGAAAATGTATTTATAAATGGGGCATGTCATCCGTATTATAGTTTTTCAAGTCAACAAATAAGAATAGGTTTTTTTTGAAAACACTTAAAATAATCTCATTTCTTGATATACAAAAATTCTATTTCTTTCTAGTAATAACATGCAACAAACATCTAAAAAAGAGTATTATGAATATAATAATATTTATATGGATTTTATATCTCTTTTATTATCTTATTTTATCTCTATGATTTATAGTTATCTCTTATTATTATGTAATCGGTGGATTCTTTTAAAATTATAAAGTTGTGACTATTAAAAGAGAACATATATCATGTATTTAGTATTTTAAATGAATGAGAAATATTTTTATCTTCTCTTCTCCATTATTCTTTCTTTATTTTGATAATATTTTCCTAAATTTTTTAAACACCTCGTTTTGGAAATATTATTCTTACTCTAATTTAACATAATTAAAAATACAAATGTTAAAAACTATAATTGTTCTTAAAGACTTAAAATAATATTTCGACTAAATTCAAAAAATAATATCACTAACCTAATTAAAATGGTATTTTTTATGAAATACTATAATTATACTTTTTAAATTGATTTAATATTAAATCGAATTCTGAGATGTAATTTTTCTTTTTTACATTTTCGATTACTCAATCCCAATGGAATTGGATTCAAAATTAAAAATCATTGGATCCAACAAAGACCCAAACAAAAAGAGGCCTTTTCTTTCCCAGTGGGTTTAAAGCCCAACCCAGTTCATATTCAATCATGGGACGATCTATATGCCGTGCGTGGGCAGATCAAGCCACAGCACCGTGAGATCTAAACGACGACGAGCTTCGGATCTCCGGGTAAGATCTTCGTGTTCCTAAATCCTGCTTTTTCTTTTCCTGCACTTTCTCGGCACAAGGACGCCAATTGAAGGGGCGATTCTGTGATTCATTTCAATAGTAAGCGGTCTTGAAACTATTTTTACGTTGTAATTTTTTGGTTTCTAGTTGTACTGGAATGTAAAATTAGTTCGTTTTCTATGACCGTCGTTGCAGGAATTCATATCCTGATTAGGATCTGGTATAATCGGCATGGGTTTCTTGATAACAACGCTAATTTTCGTTGTGATTGGGATAATTGCGGCCCTTTGTACCAGAATTTGCTGCAATAGAGGACCTTCTACTAATTTGTATGATTCTCATCTTCGTTTCTTTCTGAAATCTGCATATATTTGGTCTCTCAACTGTTCTTCGGATTTTCTTTAATTTGATTTCTTCTCACGTATTTGATGATGTTCCGGTCCCCAGCACGCTTGAGTTACTGCATTTGTTGATTCAGGGTTCTATACTAATGTGTGGAGTGGTTTACGGGATGGCCTTATTTTATTAACTGTTTTTGCTATCAGAGAATTAACCGCATAACGGGAAGCCGGTTATGGTTTCCTGATCTAATTTGTCCTTCGCTGTTTCATTTTTAAATTTTGTCGATTTTTTGAAGTTGGAAGTGGGTTCTGTTATTGGCATCTTAACGGTACACCTTTTGAGCGAATGGCGGAAAATTGCGTTTTCATTACTAAGGCAGATAAAGCTGGACGATAATAACTCTTCATTGTTTATCTGGAATTGTATTTCTTTTTCTTTTTGTTTTTTAGATAAAATGGAATGGTATTTTCTACCATTTTGGACTCAGCTATCAATATGGAATTCAGAGAAGGCTACCTAATAATTGAAATAGTTTGATGCCCATCCTGCAGAGAATAAATTGACTTTAACGGGCATTTTTACTCAACCTAGAGAACGAAAATAGGCTATAGTTTCGGAAATACTACTTTACTTCAAATCTTTAGCTGCTAGAACTATATAGTCCTGCTGCTGCCATGCTTTTAATTAACTCTTTATCATTTTTGTATCACTGAGGGCGAAGACCCTTCACACGAGTTCCTTTACTGGATTTAAATATTACTATACGCCCTTGCACATATTGTGCCGAATATTGATCGGTGCTTGATGTTGTCATTGATTGTTCACCCCAATTTCTTGCTGCGTTTGTAATTCGTCACTTGTGCAATAATGTGTTATTCTCATTTACATGTTACTGAACGTCTATCACTCTACTGCAGGTTTCACCTTACTTTGGTTATCACTGCAACAGTATGTTGCTGGATGATGTAAGTGCATGCTTGATTAGTGTTCTTCTTTTGTTTTGTGCTGGTCGGAATAGGAATTGGAACATGTATGGCTTGTATACCTCGTTTGTGGTTATGGGTATGCTTAAAGTATTCTAATATACTTCTGGTGATGTTACTGTTCTGAGTAGTCTGTGATTCAGTTAGCAAAGAAGGCTGTCGTTTCTTACAACTGCCGTGTCATACAAAAGCTGCATTCTAACTACATGATTTTACAAGGAAAAGCATAACAGTAATTTACTTATTCATTTGAGATTGGATGGACACAGGACATGGAAAAGAAAATATCTTTATTCAATTATGTTTCTGTTTTCATAAACGAAGATCATATGTATTATTCTTTGAGAGCTAATTTCCGAATATAAATTGTATGCCTTGAATTAATGAACTTTATTGTTATTTTGCTTTTGATAACTTTGTCATCTGATAATAGTAATTCTAATATGTGAATAATCGTGTTCATTTTTTTTCCCCCTTGTTTTAACGAGCTCACATGGGTCTTTCCTTTGCGTTACTAGGTGGGCGATTGTATATTTGGCACAGATGAAACCACTCATAGTACCAGTGCTGAATGAGGGCGAATAAATTTCTGCACGTAAGGTATTTATTTACGAATTAGAAAATGTGGTTCACAGATTAGCTCCTGGAGAGAACATGTTCTCGTTATTGTGAATTATCAGTGTCTTCCAAGGTTGGGTTCATATGTATTTCTTGCCGGACAGTGAAGTTTCAATATGCATTATTGCCTCATTAGTTCCTCTCTTGATATTGTTGTAACTGATCCTTATTCATTTTGGGGATTCTGTAGACAAGGTTACTGAAGTATGTATTTTTGTTCAATAAGTTGATGGAAGAATATCTTCTTGAAAAATAAAATATGTCAAAAGTTTAGAGAGGAGGAGAATTTTGGTAATGTCATGTAGCATTTTCCGAACTTTGGTGATGGGTTATGAAACTGTGGAAATAAAAATGTCGCGCGGATACAATCTGCTATAACAATAAATTTTTCTAGGATAAGAAAATGAGATGCGGCTTCAAAGTGTTTGTTATCATTTTCTCTTTGAAAGGCTATGCTCATACTCGTAATTTTAAAGAATTTGGGATCACGTATGGAATTGAATACAGAGCTAGTTTCATGCAAGATTGCAATGCACTGCCAGGTGAACTCTTTCAATTAACTCAATTAAAAATTAAATGCACAAATATAAGGTGAATAGTTTATGAATAGCAGTAATAATTTAGTTTATATATCCACACGCTACTAAGTAATTAGGTTGGGATAAAGTGAACATATATAAAACGAAAACGTATGATGAATATATTGACGCAGGATGATAAGGGATGAAAGTTTGACTTACAGAAAGAGAACAGAGTACTCAGGATTATTTTTAGCTGATAAGCGTTGCTGCGGTCAACCGGGTTTTATAGATTCTTAGGATGACATTTGGAATTTAATTTCTAGATATCATCTATATCTTCTATCAAGCTTTTGCTTGCCCTTTCATCTAAAAAAAAGAAAAAAGAAATAGAATAGAGTGACACAACACATCTAAAATATTATGCCAGAAGTTAATGATTTGAATTGTATAATACTATCTCCGGTCCTTAATATAAGAATTTGTTTGATTTTTATTTTGATCTTAAATATAAGAGTTAAATCCACTTTGTCTCTCATATTTATCTTTTTTTTTTAAAGTAGTTTTTGTAATAAATAGTAGTTGTGTTCATTGCACTTTATTAGTAAAAATATTTTAAAAAAGAGAACACATAGTTTTTATAATAATAGTAATTTTAGCTATTACACTTTATTAGTAAAGATATTTCAAGAAAAACAGTACTTATTTATTATAAATAACTAACTTAACTAGTTTTTTTAATTTACTCAAATTAGTTAACTAACTCTTACATTAAGAAACGGATATAGTAGCAATTTTTGATGTCTTTGGGGACTGTAAGCCCGGAAACAAGAAGTTCAAATGAACACATTTAACCATGTAATGAGGTAAGGCCTGCTTTTCCCATCATCCATTCCAGAAGACTCATGATTTCTTTTGCGGCTTTCTCATCCGCCCCGTTTCTCACCACCGGCGGAAAGAACCACCAGTGGGCCGTGACAATCACAAACGCCACCATCATGGGCCCATACACAACAGAACAAACCCCCCACTTGGGCCGGCCCAACAATTTCTTGACCCTAGACTCCACAACCACGCTTACTCCGTGGAGCACAAAGAACCACGTGACCTCCCACGTCGGAGCCTCGCGCGTGACGTAGTAGAATATCAGCTCGTGCATCAGCCCGGATACTACGAAAGCCGCCACGACTCCAACAGTGCGGCCCAATAAAGGCCCACAAATTGATCTCAGCGGCGTGTACACGGCATCTCGCAGAAGGCTCGTGACCGTGAGATTCCACCGTCTTCCCCAGAAGTCTTGCAACGATGTTGAGAGGTAGGGCTCATCGGACGGCATTTCCAACTCCATTCCGAAAACGGCTTTCGTAAAAGAATTGCAGATTCCCGAAACGACGTCGACTAGAAGATACAGCAAGCAGCAGTAGATAGCGAGGAGGAGGATCGGGTGGAGATTCTGTTTCTGGTTCAGAGTTGGCAAAAGGAGAACGAAGAGAAGGGATTTGAGCGGGGAATTGAGAGGCAGCTTGGGGGTTTTCTTGGGGCTTTGGCTGGTTTTGATTGGGAGGCAAGAAATGAGGAGGAAATTCTGGAGAGATTTCGATTGGTGAGAAGAGAGAGGGCCTAAATCGAAAGAGAAAAGGACGAGTTTGAGGGTGGAGAGCCATGTGATGAACAGCGCGATAAGACCAGTGGGAAAAACAGAGGAAAGTTTGAGAGGGAGGAGGATGAAGACGAAGAAGACTGGGGAAAGAGAGAGGAACCTGAGCTTGCCTTTGGGAATTCTAGAGCCAATGAAGAAAGAGTAGGATAGTGAGAAGAGGACGGAGAGATGAACCTTGATAAGGTTATTGAACTCTTGTTCATGCATGCCCTCTGGTCTTGACATCTCTCTCTCCCTCTTTTTCCCTCTCTCTCTCGCTCTCTGCTCCGTACCAGGCTCTGATTTTTATTTTCAGATGGTGATTGGACACTCCAAATTTCATAGAAGAGTGCAAAATAAAAGCTCGAAATGGTGCTATTTTTATCCATATTAAATAAATACTTTATGCCAGCACCTGGGGTCAATCCCTGCCTTCAACTACAAGCTCTGCTTGCCTATTAAATGAATAAATAAATACTGTAAAAATGATGGTTTCAATCAGAATATGGCATCACCCTTCCACTAAGAGCATCTTTGAACACAGTTAATGAGAGTGGTACAGTCAGATTCAGAAGTGACATCTTCCATCTCGTTAGAGGCGAGTCATGAGCTCTGCAAAAGCTGTGATTTCCCACTCAGAATCCATCCACATTGGCAAATGGCAACAGCCGCCAGCTGAAAAAGAACCATCACTGATAATTTCCAGACTATCACATTCATCAGGAAGAATCCAATACCATCAATAATTCTCAAAACCATTATTATTTTCGCTTTTTGTGATGCATAAAATTAAATACTATTCATTAATTGAGACCATGTGGTTGGTCTGAATAGATAACTTTTTTTTAAAATAATTAATTGTTGACATAGATAGGACTAAAACCACTGTGAATTGGAAGATGAGTTTGAGATGATTGATGAGCTTCTCTAGTTCTATCATCCATAGCCAAAAAATAAAAATCAACCAATGAATAAGTCAAATAGTGATACGAGTCAGTTGTACAAGTCAGTTTGTTAATTAGCACGTGTCATTCTGTTACAACTTGTATAACTGATTAGTTGTTAAATACCCCGTAATTGTACGTTGGATGGGATATTGGAAATAATACACTTCTACGTAATTCTCTCTCTCTCCTCTGCTGCGTAACAACTTGGCATCAGAGCCGACCTTCCAGCTACGCCATCATGCCGGAAACAAGATCCGGTGAGCGGATCAGTGACATTGAGCATCGCCTGGATTTACATGCTGCCGCAATGGAGATTGCTCGTGCGCGATTGGAATAGAATTCTTTGGACATTGGCGAACTGAAAACTTCAATTTCTCGTATGGAGAACTATATGGGGGATTTGATGCTGAAACTTACGTCCATAGCTCAGTCCTCATCACACGACAACGTTGGTGCTTCTTCTTCTACTCCTAATCGCCAGCCAGTTCCTCAGTTTGGCACTTATGGATCTTCTTGATCGCACTACGCTCCTCCGACAAAACAGAGTCGCGTGGAGTTTCTGAGATTTGACGGCACCGACTTCAAAGGATGGGCTTACCGATGCCAACAATTCTTTGCTGTCGATGGTACTCCGACTGATCAACGGATACGGCTTCTTAGTATTCATCTTGAAAAGAAGGCCCTCAAGTGGCATCTTAATTTCATGGCGAAGAGACAAGATTCGGAAGTATCTTGGGATGACTACTTCAAACAAATGGAAGCCCGTTTTGCCGAAGTGCGTCGCATATCTCCAATGGTGGAACTTCGTAATCTCCATATGACGATGTCGGTTGATGATTACATTGACGCGTTTGATGAATTATTGACAGAGGTTGATATTCCCGAGAACGTTGCTATGGATATTTTCTTGGGAGGGCTACATTTTGACATTCAATCGGCGGTGGATACTTTTAAGCCGTCTTCGCTCGCGAGTATGATGCAGATGGCGCGACTTCAAGAACGAATGCTTGCGGCTATATTTGTGCATGCTCCTACATCTATTCCAGGCCATCGTTTTAGTCAGCATATCAGACCTTTAGTGGAGAGTTCTACCAAACCCTCCATGACTTCCTCTATTTCGAAAGGTTCTGTGAATGACAGGGAAGGATCATCTCCTACTCTAGCTACTTCAAAAAGGCCTGCTCTGACCTTGTCTAAAAAAGAAATGGAAGAACGGAGGAGGAAGGGGTTGTGTTATTGGTGCAATGATAAATACACAAGCTCCCATAATTGCCGTACTTCTCATGTTATGATGCTTGTTATTCAGAATGACAGTGATGAGGATTTCCTAGATGCAGCTGAACAGTTTGATCTGGGCAATGATCCAGCTAAGGTTGATGCAACCATTAATGCAGCAGAAGGTTGGGAGGGCTGTTCCACCTTGAAGGTTGAAGGGTACATAAAGAAACAGAGAGTCCTCATTTTAATTGATACAGGCAGTACGCATAATGTACTTGATGCTACAGTGGCTAAACGTTTGCGTTTACCTGTCCAAGAACAAGAGGGTCTACGTGTCGCTGTGGCTGGAGGACGACGCATAGTAATCAATAAATTTTGTCATAACTTGACTTGGACTATGGCTGACCATAATTTCTCTGATTCATTTTTGGTGATGGACATAGCAGGATTTGATGTTATTTTAGGAGCCCAATGGCTTAAACGGTTAGGCCGAATTGTTTTGGATATGAATGACCACTTTATGGCTTTTTGCTTTGATCATAAATACTTTGAGCTGACAGGTGTAGCGAGAAGAGACTTTCCACCTAATGAAGACACCTTGTATTCGTGTGATCTATCGGTGGCATAACACATGTTTCTAATCCAAGTGTTGGACCATGGTGATGGGTCTCTTATGTCTCTATCTGCCACCTCCGCATTAGCTGGCCCTCAACAGCGACAGCTTAATGATCTTCTTCTCTCCTTCAAAGATGTTTTCGCTGAACCACAGTCGCTGCCCCCATTTCGAGATTTTGATCATCAGATTCACTTAAAATCAGATCAACCCATCAGTTGCAAGCCGTATCGTTATGGACCGGCACAGAAGACCGAAATTGAAAAACAGGTGCAACAAATGCTTCAAAATGGCATTGTGCAAGAGAGCCATAGTCCCTTTGCCGCTCCAGTCATATTGTTCGACGCATCGGAAAGGGCTACCTGCGGAGGGGTTGACTGGCAAGGGCCGAGTGAAGCGTCGTAGAGTGGAGCTGCCGGGACGTCGGCTTTCCGGGGAGGATGTATTGATAGGGACTTTGTATGGGCAAAGTCCCACATCGGGTAGTATAGGCTGCTTGATGGGGTATTTAAACCAATGGCTCTCCCTCCCTAACAGCTAGCTTTTGGGGATTAACTTATGAGATTGTGTATACTAAAGGGAAGGACAATAAGGCTGCCGATGCTCTCTCTCGCCAATTTGAGGTTTCTTTAGCTGCAATTTCAGTACCCACAACTGAATTACATACTAAAGTCAAACAGACCTGGACTACAGATACTCACGTGCAGCAACTTATCAAAGATTTGGAAATGGACCCCACTTCCCATCCTAAGTATACATGGCAGCAGCAACTTTTAAAAAGGCTTGGCAAATTGGTAGTTGGAGTTGATCATAACTTGCGCCACGAGTTACTTTCTTTCTTCCACTCGGACCCTGTAGGAGGACATTCTAGAGCCACTGCAACTTACAGACGCCTTGCCTTTGTGTTTTATTGGAAAGGAATGCAGTGTGACGTAAGGGAATTTATCTGTTCTTGTTCTACTTGTCAACGTTTCAAGTCTGAACATGTCGCTTCTCCTGGATTACTGCATCCCCTTCCCATTCCAGATCATATTTGGTCTGAACACTCCATGGATTTCATTAGTGGCTTGCCTTCCTCTTTTTCTAAAACAACTATTTTAGTAGTTGTTGACAGACTTAGCAAAGCTGCCCATTTCATGCCTCTTAAACACCCATTTTCAGCTACAGATGTAGCCCATGTATTTTTGGATAATGTTGTCAAACTTCATGGTTTTCCTAAGTCTATTGTGACTAACCGTGACCCTCTTTTTTGTGGCAAATTTTGGAAAGAACTTTTTAGGCTTTATGGTGTGAAGTTGCAGTACTCTTCAGCCTATCATCCACAATCTGATGGTCAAACAGAGGTTCTTAATCGTTGCCTTGAAGGTTACTTGAGATGCATGACAGGTGACTTTCCCAAGCAATGGGTTCATTGGCTTTCTCTAGCTGAACTGTGGTATAATACGAATTACCACTCTTCCTTAGGTATGACACCATTTGAGGCAGTCTACGATGTGGCTCCTCCTGTTCATTTACCTTACTTTCCTGGAGATTCATCTAATGATCTTGTTGATCGACTTTGCACTGCACGCGAAACTACTGTCCAAGTGTTGAAAGAAAGGCTTTTGAAAGCTCAGCACCGTATGATACAACAGGCCAATAAACACTGCTCTGAAAGGGAATTCTCGATTGGTGACATGGTTTATCTTAAACTTCATCCCTTCCGAAGAAATTTAATTAATAATTCTACATTACATAAGCTTGCCGCCCGGTACTTTGGTCCATTTGAGGTACTAAACAGAGTAGGCAAGGTTGCTTACGAGCTCAAGCTTCCTCCCACAACAAGGATACATCCAGTCTTTCATGTGTCATTGCTGAAGAAGTGTGTTGCTCACAGCACCCTAGTAGCTACTTCCTTATCCATGACGGATGCTGACGGCCAATTTTCACTTGAACTTGTAGCTATTCTCGATCGCAAGCTTGTTAAACGTGGTACACTACCTATCACTCAACTTTTGGTTCAATGGCAACATAGCAGACCTGAGGACGCCACTTGGGAGGATCTTTCTTTCCTCAAGCAACAATTTCCAACGTTTGACTTCTCTGCTCCACCAGCCAACACCATCCTTGTGGACAAGGATGCTCCTTAGGGGGGGTGTAAATTGATACGAGTCAGTTGTACAAGTCAGTTTGTTAATTAGCACATGTCATTCTGTTACAACTTGTATAACTGATTAGTTGTTAAATACCCCGTAATTGTACGTTGGATGGGATATTGGAAATAATACACTTCTACGTAATTCTCTCTCTCTCCTCTGCTGCGTAACAAATAGGAAGTACCCCTAATATTTGAAAAAGAAAATATTTTCTGACCAAAACCAATCAAACCAATACCTGCCAAAGGGTGGTATTAACTGTCCAATCACGTGGATTCCATTCACATTAACACTTAATAATCATTCCGTAATACTACCTCTAATACTATCTCTGCTCTTTAATATAAAAACTAACTAGTTAATTTAAGTAAATTAAAAAAATTTGTTGAGTTATTTATTTATAATAATTAGATATTGTCTTTCCTAAAATATCTTTACTAATTAAGTGTATTAACTAGAACTACCATTATTATGAAAATTATTTTAGGAAAAACTAGATAAATATGAGAGACAAAGTGGATTAGGATTTTATACTACCTTCGGTTCTTAATATACGACCTCATTTGACTTTTATTTTGGTCCTAAATATAAGAGCCCAATCCACTTTGTCTCCTATATTTCTGTATTTTTTTTTCAAAATAGTCCTTCTAATAATGGTAGTTTTAGTCTACACACTTGATTAGTAAGGATATTTTGGGAAAGACAATACGTATTTATTGCAAATAATTAACTTAAATTATTTTCTTAATTTCCTCAAATTAGTCAATTAGTTCTTATAATTAGGACCGAAGGTGGTATTTGAATCAAAATAAAACTCAAACGAGATTATATTAAGAACCGCAAGTAGTATTAGATTATTTATATAACTAAGTTATACAAACTAAAACATTAGTTAAAATTGATCAAAGGCAATAAAAAATATACTACCTCTGGTCCTTAATATAAGACCTTGTTTGACTTTTATTTTGGTCCTAAATATAAGACCCTAATCCACTTTGTCTCTTATATTTCTGTATTTTTTTTCAAAATAGTCCTTCTAATAATGGTAGTTTTAGCCAACACACTTGATTAGTAAGGATATTTTGGAAAAGAAAATACGTATTTATTGCAAATAACTAACTTAAATTATTTTCTTAATCTCCTCAAATTAGTCAACTAGTTTTTATAATTAGAACCGAAGGTGGTATTTAGAATTAAAATAAAACTCAAACGAGATTTTATATTAAGAACCGCAAGTAGTATTATATTATTTATATAGCTAAGTTATACAAACTAAAACATTAGTTAAAATTGATCAAAGGCAATAAAAAATATACTACCTCTGGTCTTTAATATAAGACCTTATTTGACTTTTATTTTGGTTCTAAATATAAGACCCTAATCTACTTTGTCTCCTATATTTATGTATTTTTTTTCAAAATAGTCCTTCTAATAATGGTAGTTTTAGCTAACACACTTGATTAGTAAGGATATTTTGAGAAAGACAATACGTATTTATTGCAAATAACTAACTTAAATTATTTTCTTAATCTCCTAAAATTAGTCAACTAGTTCTTATAATTAGGACTGAAGGTGGTATTTAGAATCAAAATAAAACTCAAACGAGATTTTATATTAAGAATCGCAAGTAGTATTAGATTATTTATATAACTAAGTTATACAAACTAAAACATTAGTTAAAATTGATCAAAGGCAATAAAAAATATACTACCTCCGGTCCTTAATATAAGACCTTGTTTGACTTTTATTTTGGTCCTAAATATAAGACCATAATCCATTTTGTCTCTCATATTTATACATTTTTTCTCAAGATAGTCCTTCGAATAATAGTGGTTCTGACTAATACGTTTGATTAGTAAGGATATTTTAAGAAAGACAACAACTATTTATTACAAGTAACTAACTCAACCTATTTCTTTATCTCCTCAAATTAGTTAATTGGTTCTTATAATTAGGACTAGAGGTAGTATATAATATAACTCATGAAAAGTATGAGCAAGAGAAACCAACGGTGGTTAAATCGAAAACTGAGCATAAAATATATAAAAAATGATTCAAAAAATTAAAACTTATAATATCAAAAAAAGCGGAGAAAGCTTTTGTTTGAATAGTTGAAAGATTAACACCCAACAATTAATAATTCAATTCAACCAACGGTGGTTAAATCGAAACCGCAATATAATGGCTTCAATACCCAGTGTCGATCTCACTGTAATAACCTGGACTTCACAAAACGTATCATTATTGAGTACTCCTTTATTGCCTTCCTATCCACCCCATTTCTAATTAACTGAGGAAAAAACAACCACTTGCCGGTGACCGCCAAAAACAACACCGTGACCGGCCCTGACACTGCCCGGTGCAACCTCCATCCACGACGTCCTGCCGCCTTCTTCACCTCCACCTCGACCGCGGTGCACACGCCATGCAACATAAAGAACCACGTGACCTCCCACGTGGGAGGCACACGTGCAAGGTAATAATACATCAACTCATGCATTAAACCGGACACAGCGAACGTGGCCAACGTGGCTGGGATTGGGCTGTATGGGCCCAATACGCTCCAAGATAAACGTCGTATAGGGTCGTATACTGTGGGCCGTAGGATACCTGTGACCATGAGGTTCCATCTGCGACCCCAAAAGTCCTGAATCGACGTGCTGAGATACGGCTCGTTGAACTGCGGCTCGATCTGGAAGCCGAACACTCGAGCCGGAGCTGCGCAGAGAGCCAGCACGAGCTCCAAGCCGAGGTACATGTGGCAGCAGTAGAGGAACAAGATGAAGTGCGGGTGGAGGTAATCTCTGTAGTCGTAAGCGCGGATAATGGCAGCGAGGAGAACCACTTTCAGGAAGATAGTCGATTTCGAGACTCGTTTTTCTGAGTTCTTTGTGGGAATCTGAGGTTTAATCTTGATTGGGAGAGAAGAGATGAGTACGAAATGGAGGATGTTTGGAGGGAGGGGCGATAGAGGGCCTTGATCGAAGGAGAAAAGGAGGAGTTTAAAAGTGCAGAGCCAAACGAGGAAGAAGGTGGTGGGCCCACCGAGGTGGAAAGAATGGAGGGTTAATGGGAGAAGGAGGAAGACGAAGAAGATGGGAAGAAGAGAGAGAAGCCTGAAGAAGCCTTTAGGCATTATTGAAGAAACGTAATAGCAATAACAGAGGCACGAAATGGCTTTGATCCATACCTTGAAGAACTCGTAGATTTCGTCGTCCATTTTCTGGTTTGCTCTTTCTGCTTCTACTCCAATTGCTTTAAGCTTGTTAAATGTGTTTTTTTTTTTTTACCAAAAAAAAAAAACAGCTTGTTAAACGTGTTTTGGTTTAGAATATTTATTATGAGTTAATGTGATGTGGGGCGCTAATTAGTTGGAAGATCGAGGCAGTTGGTAATGATAAAATAAAATATAACCACTCGTTCGTCAAAAATCTCATGAAGAAAACGAATAATAATATTGGAGTCGACGCATTTTCTTCTTGTTTTTTTTAAATTAATCGTGTATATTTGGTGAAAATAATCAATAAATTGATTGTTTTTTAGCAGGAGTTTACCCAGGACATTTGAGTATGAGAATCTGTGAATAAGGGGAAAAAAACAACGAAGAAAGACATTTATTTACTGCTAAAAAAGTAGACGCCTGTATTTCTTTAATTATTATATTCGGAGTTGTTGTAATTTTGAAATGTATTTTAATTGTACTTGTTAGAGATTTAGACAGCTACTGTGGTTTAGCTTTTTGTTTTTCTTTTTGAAAATGAAAGAGATAGATAATTAGATATTGAAAGCATAGATCATAAGTACGATTGAACTAACAATACTCACCTACAATTTTTTAGTTACGCTACTAAGCTATAAAACCATTAGCATGGGTGTCCATTTTTTTTTATTTGATTAAGGATTTTTCTTTTTCAAAGTTTAGAACATAAAAGGATTTTTGTTCTTTACAATAAGTATATTTTTCGAAATTCGAATTTGTATTTTTCTTACATCAACCAATAGTAAAATATTGGATTTGAATATGTATGAACGTGAAAAATATTCTTATAAAAGCTAATCCCATTAAGAGTTTCACAATGTGCTTGAATTTGTTTATTAGGAACGTGATGTATGTGAAAAATGCCTTTACAATAAGGTCTCACCAATGCTTAAATACCAACGTAAAAAAAAAAAAAACTTAAATATGATCTATTAGACCTATGCATCACCCCTCGTCCTCGGGTGTAGTTGGTAAGGATACTCTCACGAATGAAATGGGTTCGATCCTTAAGCTGATTGAGATGCTAAGGGAGGTATATTCACAGTTTAGTGAAATTGAGAGATTCTACCTATTGAGACAAAAAAAAAAAAAAGACTTACTTGTCATGCTCTCGTACCTATAAAGATATGTTCTAGTGGATCATGGGTTAGTTTTCCTATCTTGGATTGTGGGTGGACCCAACCTTTTTTTTAAAATTTCTCCATTAAAAAAAAAAAGCATTAGGCATCAAATAACGCAAATATGAAGAATGAGAGCTACATACTTTTATCAAAAATCTAACCATACTTAAATCTAACCCATTAGTATTCTATACAAAGAAGCATATAAAAAAAAATAGTGCTTTTAGTGTAAAAATACAAAAAAGATGCATAGACTTCTGAGAAGAATAATGAGAGGGAACATGACATTAAAAAAACCTTGAAAATTATTAAATTTCAAATCAAATTTATTTCTTGCATTTTAATACGTTTTAATTTCATTTGATTTGAAAATAACTACATGAATTCTTCATTCGGTATTACACAATTTTTAGTTTCTTTTTTGTCATCCTCCCATAATAATCAGAATATTTTCCAAAAATGTCAATGTCATCGTAACCTGGACTTCACGAAATCTACCATCATTGAATACTCCTCGATGATTTTCCCATCCACACTGTTTCTCTTCAACTGAGGAAAAAACAACCATTCACCGGTGACAGCCAAAAACGCCACCGTGAGCGGACCCGACACAACCCGGGGCAACCTCCATCCACGACGACCAGCCACCTTCTTCACCTCCACCTCCGCCGCTGTGCACACGCCATGCAACACAAAGAACCACGTGACTTCCCACGTGGGAGGCACACGTGTAAGGTAATAATACATCAACTCGTGCATCATACCAGACACAATGAAAGTGGCCAGCACGGCTGGCATTGGCCCGTAGTGCAGGCCCAATGCGAGCGTAGAGATACGTCGTATAGGGTCGTATACGGTGGGCCGTAGAATACTGGTGACCATGAGATTCCACCTACGACCCCAGAAGTCCTGAAGCGACGTGCTGAGATACGGCTCGTTGAACTGCGGCTCGATCTGGAAGCCGAACACGGCTCGAGCCGGAGCCGCAAAGAGACCCAGCATGAGCTCCAAGCCGAGGTACATGTGACAGCAGTAGAGGAACAAGATCAAATGAGGGTGTAGATTATCTCTGTAGTCGTAAGCGGAGACGATCGCAGCGAGGAGAAGCACTTTAATAAAGAGAACCGGTTTGGATCTTCGTTTTTCTGGGTTTTTTATGAGACCTTGAGGATCGATTTTGATTGGGAGAGAAGCAATGAGGATGAAATGGAGGATGTTTGGAGGGAGGGGTGACAAAGGGCCTTCATCGAAGGAGAAAAGGAGGAGTTTGAAAGGGCAGAGCCAAGCGAGGAAGAAGATGGTGGGCCCAGCGATGTGGAGAAGAGAATGGGGGGTTAGGGTTAAGGGGAGGAGGAGGAAGATGAAGAAGATGGGAAGAAGAGAGAGAAGCCTCAAGAAGCCTTTTGGTATTCTTGAAGAGACGAAGTAGCAGTAACAAAGGCATGAAATGGCTTTGATCCATACCTTGATGAAGTTCTGGATTTCATCCTCCATTCTCTCTCTGCTTTCTTTTTCTTTGACCTCTGCTGGTAAGCTTATTGGACGTGTTTGTTTGGTGAGAATATCTAATGGGCAGGATTGATTTGGGGAAATGAAGAGCAAATTGAAATAAAATAAATGGCAAGACAAGATTCCTCCATCCTCTTACAACATTTAATTTTTAAATTCGTACAATTCTTTTTATAAGATACGGCTTAAATTTGAGAGAATTACAGTCAAATCCCATAAAAAAATAATTACCAAAAAGTCTTAATAACAATCTCAATAGCTTATAATAACAAGTCTTATAGTGAAAATAACAATCTCTGAGACTTGTTTTTCAATTGTTTTCTTTGCTTGGAATCTCATTATAATTCTTCCTTTAAACTTTTCTAAATATTAAATATATTTTTTATATCAATTTTACTCCTAATGAATTGTATTATCTTTCTTTTTCATTTTTTTCCTTACTATTTCTCTCCCTTATTTACCATCTTAAAATATAGACATATTTGGAAAAAATACATTTTTTTTCATATTTATTACTTTTAATTATTTTAACTAATGTTAACCGATTTTTTTAAATGGGTTGTTTGAATTTAATTTTTTTTAAAAAAAAGATAGGAGAGGGGGTACCAGTAAAGGTGCTCGCAAAATCTTATCAAGAAAACAAAACTTGGCAGTTTTACTCGAATTTGGTTTATTCAGAAAGCATATTTTGATATAATATATCAGTATTTTTTTTTCCCGGTTGGACCGATAATGTGGGCTTACGCTTTAAATAGTATTTAATACTTTTTGTTTTAAAAATTTTTTTAGCCTTTTAATGGAGTCCACACTAACAAAATTTGCTTGTGTCTCTATTTGGTGAAAAATAATCAATCACTTGGGGTCACAACAAGACGGAACCAATTGATGAGAACATCTCCCAACTTTTGCAATTTGTAATGTAGCAAAGACATTTGAGACAACAAAATATAATAAGGAAAGTTCCTATCTCTTCATTACATTGTGGAATCAAGGTCCAGAAAAATGACCCGCAAATGGCACTTGCTATTTGGAAGGATTGGTGTCATTTCGAGGCCAACCGTTTAAAGCTGATGAAGAATCTCACGGAGACAAATTAAATCACTCAGACCATATCGGCAACCTGGAGTAAAAATTAATCACTACATTCAGTCACTCCTTGTACAAGTTACTACCAATGTCACGTCGTTTCTTTGTATCCCAGCATGTCCAATACTGTGGTATTCTGTATCTATTTTGCATGAATCTTCACAACATATGATGCATGACATAGATCCACCAGCTAAACAACCAAATAAAAACTAGGATCTAGCTATAAAATTGATAAAGATAGATGTATCTAGAGAAGATAAACGTGAAAGAGGGGAAAAAAATACAGGTAGTCAAGATTTAGTATATCTGGTTGGCACAAATTAAAAAAAAAAAAAAAAAAAAAACAACAGCAGCAGCAGCAGCAGCAACAACGTATACCTGAAAAATTCCTACTTTTTCATCTTTTATTATCTTCCGCCTCTTGATGAAGTTGATGAAAAGAATATAGCACAGAGGACTGCATGTTTGCCATTTCTACAAGCGTCTCTAGTGCTGCAAAGAATTTTGGTAGGCAGAATAAATCAAATTTCCTGGCTCTAGAAAATTAAAAGCAAATATGCCGATAGAGTGGTGGGAAGTAAGATCTTATATTCTGATATTCACCTCTCTCAAATGACAACTGGGCGGCTCGAAGCTTTGGGGAAATCAAAATTCCAAACATTGACAGTGATTTGGATCGCTCCTTACAAAACTGAAAAGGCACGAATAAGATCCAAGGAATTACGAACAGGCAATTCAGGGTTAAGTGAAGATAAATATTGAAGTATTTAATAGTATTATTTATTAACCAAGTAAACACAAAATAGCAGTTATACCAGCAAGCCAGTATGAGGTACTTCTAATAGATGTGCTAATTACAGAAAAACAAATATATAACACAGGAGTTCAGGAAGCAGTAACAGTTGCAGAATACCTACTTGATCATTGTCTGCAGATTCAGACAAGTTCTTTGAAACAGTCACCTCAGCATTTTCTTCAGCTGAATAAATATACGACGAGATGAGAAACAGCTTGCACGGTTCTTAAGTTCTAATAACATATTGCAGCGGAATCATCTTGTAAATTCAATTGAACTTTACTCTGATGTGTCTGCTTCATTTCAAACATACAGCTTAAGTTATGCGCTCTTCCTTCCTTCCTTTCATTTTTTTTTTTTTTTGCCGGGGGGGGGGGGTGGGGTTTGCACTGCACAAATCCTCCCCCTTACATTATTCAGGGTCCACAGAGAAAAGTATTCCATTCAATCAATGCAAAGCGAGAAAGTCTCCATACCAGATGATTGCAGAATACCATCACTCTCATGGAGATGCACATTGTTATCTTCTAATTGACTATTTCCATGTTCAGATGATACCCATTTGCGCAAAGTGAAGCATGGTTGTACTGCAACGGAATCAACCGCAACATCTGAAACAAATGCTTCCTCAATTTCAATGCAGGGAAAGCATGGAGCAAAATGAAAGCTTTGCCACAGTGAAGAAGCTTTAGAATACTTGCCAGCACAATGAGAATAACAAAATCACAGAGATTATTTTAGGGATTGGCTGTTAGAGAGTTGGTATAAGGGAAGTAGTACGATTCAGCAGTTACAGGCATGCGTGTCCTTTAAAAATAGAACAGTCTTTACCATCATATTGGGTTATCTTCACTGTTGTAGCAGCTGAATGGAGTTTCATGTTCAATAAAGAACTATTGATGCGTAAGCCACCCATAGAGTGTCGAGCACTTGCTAAATCCAGCCATCCCTGTTATATTTTTAGAACAGAAAACATGCCACATCAACTGAAAAAAATGGACAATATAAAATTTCTTAGCCGGCAACTCAAGTGTAAATTGAGCTTTTATAGCTTTTCTAGGGAGGGCGAATAAATAATCTATACGATAAGACAACCAGAATTAAACCACCGAGATTCCATCATTAAGTTATGATTGCCAAATCCTTTTAATATTTCTGTTCCTTCTCATCAGAAAGGATAAAAACTTACAGATGATTCAATTCATTGTATATTATAAAACCAATTAATAGGTAACAAGTGAGGGAGAAAGAGGAGGAGGAGGAAGAGAATGTTTATCATAATCTTTCTACACAATTATATTGGTATCAAATTTGCAGAAATTGTCACTCAACTTTGAGCCAAATGAGAATGAGCTTAATCAGCTCAAGAACTTTCACGCTTATTTGAAATTAAATATTGCAACTTTCTTTGAAGAATGAACTCGATGAAAGATATTTGTACAGGTTTTTCATATTATTTGTGAAATGCAATAGTCTGTGACCAGTTGCATGAATAAATCGAGGCATCCGGGACTAATGGTTTCCAAAACCTACGAGAAACATTAGTTTAAATTACACTGCACTGACTATTGAGTATTTGCTATGAACGCAGATGTCGATTCCTCTATGGAAGGGATTTATCCAAACACAGCCTAAAATCTTTTTCCTCTTCAACAGAAGCAACCTAATGAATAGAAACATCTTCATTCTCCCGTCGTCTTAAAATAATGAACAATTTACTAATTCAGAGAACACCCAAACATTTAAAAGTCACAATTAAGGCATAAGCAGCTGTAAGATGGCTGTGATTAGGTAAGAATCGATGTTTCTACCTGACGAAATGTCGAAGACAAAGCATCAAAGAGGGAAAGGTAATTATGCATAGAATCCATGAATTGCAAGACAAGTTTCTCTTCCACTCCAGGATGGAGCCGTGGTCGTCGCAGTTGCAGCTGTTGTGGTTGTGCTCTATCTACTTCCCGCGGCTCATTTCCTGTTTCTTTCTGACTCCGATCTTCTTCTTCCATGGGACTTCACCAGCAGCTTCTGACTGGGGCAGCTCTGTTTTGTCAACGGCAACGCTAAGCGAATGAAAAACCGGCCGGACTATCCATAATTAACAGACCTATTCGGTTAAGTTTATATCAGAAATTATAACTGGCAATGCACCTGTGGAGGAGAACTTCAAACTTCGACTTCGATTTTCGTGTTGCTAATTTCTGAGGAAGAAAATGAAGCCCGAGGATCTCACGTTACAAGCTCGATAATCACATCTGAGAACAGAACAGTAAATTTTAGGGATTTTAAAAATATCAATTTTTTTTATTGAGGATGACTTCATAAAAAATAAAATAAAATAAAATTTAAGTTAAAAGTTTTTGAATATTCAATTGAGAAAAAAATGTAGGCTGAATTTTCAACAATAATCCTTAGAAAGAATAGTTACTGGAAAAATAGTTTTATTTTGCACTAAAAAACTGGGCTTCGTTAGCAATTTAAATTGAGAAAATCTCATATAAAGTAGCCTGAACTAATAAAATCCTTCTTCAGATTATCTGACTAGGTTAAAATTTTATAAGTTTATTGACCCCAATTAAAATTTAAGTTATTTAATTAGCTTTATAAGCGATTTTCTCCATTTAAATTTATAATCAGTGCGAAACACTGGTCATTAAAATGAATATAGAGCCCAGTTTTGAATCAGGTTTTTAAATTTATTTATTTTATTGAGTCCTTTAATTTTATGCCGTTAAATCTGTTAGTCTTTGTCGTTAAATAAAAACCAAACGCAGTCAAAATTTCTGTCAATAAGCACAGCTTTGAAACATCTTCTCAATTTGAAAAATCATATCCGTCCATCTCCTCCGTCATATCCCAAGCTTTGAAACCAAGCTCCCCCTCCATCTCTTCGTATAATACTTCTCCGATCCTTAATATAAGACCCATCTAACTAATTTGATTAGATTAAAGAAGTTAGGTAAGTTAGTTAATTATAAGAAATATGATACATTTTTCCTAAAACACTACAATCATCTTTCTTAATACCTTATCTCTCTCTTTTACTTGATTATGGTTGAGAGAGTATCTATAGGGGTAATTTAGAAAAAATTGATAAATATGATAAATGGGTCTTATATTTAAAACCAAAACCAACTCAAGAATTG